GGGCTTGCAAGATCACCTGGTGACTCAGACGGTCGCAGGGCTGTGGTCCCGAGAGCAACAATGCTGGCACAACACCAACCTTGACCTAGAGGCTCTTATTATGGCCATCTCAGTCTGGCAGAGTATTTTGCATCACGCCCAGTTGACATCTCCATGGACAATATCACCGTGGTGTGGTGTTACCGAAATCAGGGTACACTCTACTCTCTATCCCTGCTAAACCAGACCTTCTGCTTGTTTTACCTGGTTGACAGTCTTGACCTGCAATTCATCATTAACACCTACCGGGTTGCGAGAACGTTCTGGCGGATACTCTGTCCCGGCCGGACAAGGTAGCTCCCACCAAATATGCCCGTAATATTACTGCCAAACGAGCAAGAAAACGTTATTATATTTGAATGGGAAAACCATAAAAGGCACAACACACAACAGAATACAACACATAAGCAAATGATGGTGTGTTAGAAACAATAACATTTATTCCACCCAGGATACATGTCCATTCGTGGAGCTAACAAAGCAGTGATGTGCTCTTATGTGACGCCATGGCTTCAAGTGACGTGCCGACTGCGTAAGGCTACTGCCAGTCAACTAGTTGGAACACCTTCAGCAGCTGGATCAAAACCAACAGTTAATGCATTAAGGAGTAATGTAGGAAAAGTATACAAATGTATAAAATATTTAGATTTTACTAATTTAAGTGAAACTTGGATATGGTCTCTGACCATGGCATGCTTACACATTATAAAGGGAGCTGTCCATACTCGTTACGTTGAAGATAGTGAACACACAGTATCTATATTATTTCAGCACTAATTTCCCCCACTAATCCATCCAACCATTGAAAACCTCCATATGTTGCATAAAACATACATTGATTTACAGACATTTATTTTGTTAATAATTGTAGACTGTGAGATAAATAAGTATGGCCTTATTAAGCTCCCTGCTTCAGTATCCAGCTGCACGCTACAGCTTAATGTCAGAAATTAGCACTGGTTCACTGCTGGTGCTTATGGAAACTGGATCACCAGGTCTTCGTATATCGAAATTGAGAAGGCTTGGAGGTCAAATTGTGCAATAAATTATCAGAGCTTGACACAATCTTAGTTATTGTACTGTTTCAGCAGGAATATATGCTAAATTCCAAAATAACTGGACCTGAGATTTGGTGGCGTTGGCGCCAGTAAAAATTGATGATAAACCTGTGTTGACGTGACAAGGGGTAACACGTGGACGTTGGCTGTGTAGGCAACTCAGCTCACTGTTTGTTTGTGCGTTACAAGAAAAAACCCGGAAGATCATAATGCTTAGTTTTGTGTTGAATGCAATGTTAAGATACAGTTTTATGATACATGATTAAAAATAGTCCCAATTTTGAACAAAATAAGTATGTTTTCCCTATGTACGTGCTGAGGCCGCTTAGTTTGCATAGATTTATTCTGATAGAGAAATGTACTTGTCAGAGATGTTGTGTATTTCTAGACAGATGATAGACAGCAGGAGATAATGATGTTGTAAACACTTCAGCATGTCACTGGGTCAAGGCTTCAATATAATATTCACAGTATGCCCAAGCATTGTTATTTCATATTTCAGCAAGGACTGTTTTAAATTAGTTGGTTTGTGAATTATTTTTTCTCAAAAGATGAAGCCTGTGGTTGAAAAAAACAACAGAAAAAGGCTTTTTATTTATTTATTTATTTTTTTAATGAAAATATAGGGTTGGTTGCAGAATCGAACTAATTTTAAATATTTTGTGATAATTCGATGTCGGGACATGCATGAAAACAGTGTGTGATATATTTTATTGCTAAATGTTGTCCGTTGACAAGTTACCATAGTTACAGCGTCTTGGAAGGAAGATCAATACGTAGACACTCGTTGTTACGTAATGGGGAAATCATGCCCATCTGCTGATCTACTTCCAGAGTCAATAGATTCAAGTTATTTCTATGACAATGCTTTATTACCCACAAGGGAATTCTTTTTTTAGAAGTGAAAGTGCATGAACTTTATGATATATAAGCAGAGACCATATATGGTCTCTGATATAAGTTAAGATACACAAAACCATGTGTAAAGAAACACACGATACGCACAGGACACAACGTTATGAAATATTAAATGACAGAGTTTTGCAGCACTAACAACCATTTAGAAGCTGAATACTTGTGTGGCTAAAAGTGTTTTGGTATCTGTTTCTAAATGTGGCTTGAGATATGCCCATCTAGAAGGTCAAGGTAAATATTCTGAACTTATGTGGCTGGGTCAGATAAAGTTATATTGAAAGACTGAGAACGTAGGTGTCGAAAAGGAGAGATAAATGATCAAACAGAAGACTGGAAGTTTTACAAGCTATTAAGACAATTTTGCTGAGGCAAGCTTTGTTTTTGACATTAAAAGAGCAATACTAAAGTTGAAAAGAAAAGGTTAAAATGCTTCTAACAAGACATTCTATTTTCGCTTACATTGCAAGACTTAATTTATTCGTAAAATGTAATCTTGTCATCTCCTAAAAATACAATCTGTGTTAGAAGTCCAAATACAGTTATTGTCCATGATTGTACCTCGATACTTGTATTCAGCAGCATTTTCCACGTTTTCACTATTTATCTCAGCTGGTGCAACAGCACTTCTCATGCTTCTGAAATTACCAGTTAGTTCCTTTGTTGTGTTCACAGATGACTGAGGGTAATTGTCTTGAAGCCAAGTAACCAGACTATTGTGTCATGTCTGTTATGTTGTTCCTTGTCTGTAATCAGACTGACCAAAGCTGCATCCTCCGCATATTTCAGTCAGGCCATCTGAGTAACGGGTTATGCAATCATTCGTATACAGAATGAAGAGTATGGGCAACTGCAGTGTTCAAAAACACAGAAAATGAATTGGCATGAATCACATGTACGATTGGTGGCCTGTTCATCAAGCAAGTTTTGATCAACAATAAAAGATTTGTTATCATTCAGGGCTATAATAAAGTTCAGTAAATTGGGAGGAAATCAATAAAAAATAATTTGTGTGTAAGATTTGGACACGTTTATTTGTTTGTAAATATATAAGTTATATATTGTGATGGCTGATATATTAATTTGCCCATTATTTTGCAAATCAGATAAGAAATAACAGTACGTCATCATACTGGTTTAATGAGATATAATATATTCCTCCATCTCAGTCACATTGCAGTGCAGTTTTAATCTGTATTTGTTTAAAAACTTACTACTTAGGCTTTATCATTGACTTTCAATTAGAAGATAAACCTACTGTGCCTTGAAATTTGATGTAGTCCCACTGTAGAGTAGATGCCTCTTTATTTTAAGTTGGAACCTCGCGCTAAAGCACTAGGTTCAAAATTAAAATAAAGAGGTATCTACTCTACAGTGGGACTACATCAAATATCAAAACACAGTAGATTTATCTCCATTCTACCATGACGGCAACAACGCTTTGAAAACGGTGCTCTCTTGCAAGGTGTAACAACATAGGTACACAGGTCTGCAGTCTTAGAACATTCCGAAAAGTGGTCACAGGTAGTTATATATGAAAAATTATTACTAAAGTTCAAGATTAAAAACACCATAGTCGTGAGTAGTTCAAAATAACTGTTCAAAAGTCATAGTATTTCAAAAGAAGTTGACAAATAACACTCCAAACTTTGTTCAAAGACAGATGTTTTAATTTCTTCCAACCTGTTGGAATTTAGCAAGAGAGGTCATTTCTTGCAAATCGAACATGATATCATTTCTATTATAGGGGTGACAGGTTGTAGCAAAAGGTTTTAAAATGCTAAACGAATATATTTCAACAACAAACTTTATGAATAAACATTCTATTATATATTTAACATGTGTAAGTGTTATTAGTTAGTTAGCAATTACCCCCAGTAAACAATAATAAAACAAAAAAATGCCTCTCTTTGATGTGCCAGAACTTGACCTCCATGACGGTTACTCAAACCACACAGCTGTCAATGGCTGACAATCTTGTGTTTACATTCTCCGTAACTAGTTAAAAGAAGCAAGATGAGGTTCAACATTAACCTGTAGATTTTCTGGGATTGATCGAGCCTGCTGGCACAATATGATTACCGATAGAACTGAGTATGACTGAACAGCCGCTTTTTAGCCTGCAGACGAGCCGGACATTTTGACACCAGGCGGGGCCTATCTTAGTATCTGCATGAGTGTGAATGGCATAAGACATTTGTGGCCCAGAAATAGTGGGTCGTGTATGATTTTCTTAATTGTGCTTGTTCTGAAAAGAAATTTGTGACTTCAATTTATGTCGGGACATTGTTTTCGTGGATTTTTGAATGGACAAGTGTTTTCCTGAGATATGGACTTTCAAATCCTCTTCTGCCAAATCCTTACGATGGTGGTTGACGGAGATGGTAATTAATATAGATCATAAAAAGGTTTGTAAACAACATGTTGGCATGAATAAAGTTTTTTCAAACAATTTTTATAATGTTATATTTTACTTTCATTGTCGGTTGTTTCAATGAGGAAATAGCTTAAATTGTCACAGAACATTTCCCAAACAGTTTCATAAACATTTCATCTGTATGCAAAAGATATGCCTTCGGTAAATCTTTTAATGCCATCATCGACGCAGTCAGGGTTGCATCCAAGCCAACGCCCAAAACATCCGATATCAAACTACCATATTTCCTCTATTTGATGCTATGCTGTCTATTTATTTCGTGAGAGCCCTTGAGTCAGCGTGTATTAGAGGAAATATGGATACGTTTTATAGTTCATATGGGGTGATCGATCGGCAGCCATTTTCTATTAATCGATTTGTAGGCTATCTATGTATTCATACGCACGTTTTTTGTGAAAAGGCTTAAATATTTGAGAGGGGTTTCCGTAGCAAAAAGGAAAACTCTTTTTAACCAATCAGAATGAAGAATTCATCAATGTCATGGTAGAATTTGGCTCTTTTAATTTTCTTCAGGGACCTTAACCTTTTTCCATCCATTGTTATTTTGATTTCAGTGTCTGACAGTGAAAGATGTGCTTGCGTTATATGGCTTTCATCCAACATTCTCGTTCAACATGACCTCCATCCAAGCTATGGCACCAGGCCTGCTGTATATGGTCACACAGGACTGTAGCAAGATCCTTGACAGGCCAGACCACACCAGTACAAATTCACAAGCAGCAGGTCAGTATGTTGGGATTCCGGGATAGAATCCATTCCATGGAACTTTTACTGGCAAGAGGTGTCCTTTTCCTTCTGCTCTGATAGTGTGATCCTCAGTTCATTGTACCAAACACTGGTTGGTCAGATAAAGTTTGGACCAACTGACATTGGGCAACATTTACTCACACAATACATTCCACACCAGCATCAGGTCAGTACATCACACACCAGCAGCATCAGGTCAGTACATCACACACCAGCAGCAGCATCAGGTCAGTACATCACACACCAGCAGCATCAGGTCAGTAAATCACACACCAGCAGCAGCAGCAGCAGCATCAGGTCAGTACATTACACCAGCAGCATCAGGTCAGTACATTACACACCAGCAGCATCAGGTCAGTACATCACACACCAGCAGCAGCAGCAGCATCAGGTCAGTACATTACACCAGCAGCAGCATCAGGTCAGAACATTACACCAGCAGCAGCATCAGGTCAGTACATCACACACCAGCAGCAGCAGCAGGTCAGTACATCACACACAAGCAGCATCAGGTCAGTACATCACACACCAGCAGCATCAGGTCAGTACATTACACACCAGCAGCAGCATCAGGTCAGTACATCACACACCAGCAGCAGCATCAGGTCAGTACATTACACCAGCAGCAGCATCAGGTCAGTACATCACACACCAGCAGCAGCAGCAGGTCAGTACATCACACACAAGCAGCATCAGGTCAGTACATCACACACCAGCAGCATCAGGTCAGTACATTACACCAGCAGCATCAGGTCAGTACATCACACACCAGCAGCAGGATCAGGTCAGTACATCACACACCAGCAGCATCAGGTCAGTACATCACACACCAGCAGCAGCAGGTCAGTACATTACACCAGCAGCATCAGGTCAGTACATTACACCAGCAGCATCAGGTCAGTACATTACACCAGCAGCAGCATCAGGTCAGTACATTACACCAGCAGCATCAGGTCAGTACATTACACCAGCAGCATCAGGTCAGTACATTACACCAGCAGCATCAGGTCAGTACATTACACCAGCAGCAGCAGGTCAGTACATTACACCAGCAGCATCAGGTCAGTACATTACACCAGCAGCATCAGGTCAGTACATTACACCAGCAGCAGCATCAGGTCAGTACATTACACCAGCAGCATCAGGTCAGTACATTACACCAGCAGCATCAGGTCAGTACATTACACCAGCAGCATCAGGTCAGTACATTACACCAGCAGCAGCATCAGGTCAGTACATTACACCAGCAGCAGCAGGTCAGTACATTACACCAGCAGCAGCATCAGGTCAGTACATTACACACCAGCAGCAGCATCAGGTCAGTACATCACACACCAACAGCAGCATCAGGTCAGTACATTACACCAGCAGCATCAGGTCAGTACATTACACCAGCAGCATCAGGTCAGTACATTACACCAGCAGCATCAGGTCAGTACATTACACCAGCAGCAGCAGGTCAGTACATTACACCAGCAGCATCAGGTCAGTACATTACACCAGCAGCAGCATCAGGTCAGTACATTACACACCAGCAGCAGCATCAGGTCAGTACATTACACACCAGCAGCAGCATCAGGTCAGTACATTACACCAGCAGCAGCATCAGGTCAGTACATCACACACCAGCAGCAGCAGCAGGTTAGTACATCACACACCAGCAGCAGCAGCAGCAGCAGGTCAGTACATTACACCAGCAGCAGCATCAGGTCAGTACATTACACCAGCAGCATCAGGTCAGTACATCACACACCAGCAGCAGCATCAGGTCGGTACATTACACACCAGCAGCAGCATCAGGTCAGTACATCACACACCAACAGCATCAGGTCAGTACATTACACACCAGCAGCAGCATCAGGTCAGTACATTACACCAGCAGCAGCATCAGGTCAGTACATTACACACCAGCAGCAGCATCAGGTCAGTACATCACACACCAACAGCATCAGGTCAGTACATTACACACCAGCAGCAGCATCAGGTCAGTACATTACACCAGCAGCAGCATCAGGTCAGTACATTACACACCAGCAGCAGCATCAGGCCAGTACATCACACACCAACAGCATCAGGTCAGTACATTACACACCAGCAGCAGCAGCAGGTCAGTACATTACACACCAGCAGCAGCATCAGGTCAGTACATTACACCAGCAGCAGCATCAGGTCAGTACATTACACCAGCAGCAGCATCAGGTCAGTACATTACACACCAGCAGCAGCATCAGGTCAGTACATTACACACCAGCAGCAGCATCAGGTCAGTACATTACACACCAGCAGCAGCATCAGGTCAGTACATTACACACCAGCAGCGGCATCAGGTCAGTACATTACACACCAGCAGCAGCATCAGGTCAGTACATTACACACCAGCAGCAGCATCAGGTCAGTACATTACACACCAGCAGCATCAGGTCAGTACATTACACACCAGCAGCAGCATCAGGTCAGTACATTACACACCAGCAGCAGCATCAGGTCAGTACATTACACACCAGCAGCAGCATCAGGTCAGTACATTACACACCAGCAGCAGCATCAGGTCAGTACATCACACACCAACAGCATCAGGTCAGTACATCACACACCAGCAGCAGCATCAGGTCAGTACATCACACACCAGCAGCAGCATCAGGTCAGTACATTACACACCAGCAGCAGCATCAGGTCAGTACATTACACACCAGCAGCATCAGGTCAGTACATTACACACCAGCAGCAGCATCAGGTCAGTACATTACACACCAGCAGCAGCATCAGGTCAGTACATTACACACCAGCAGCAGCATCAGGTCAGTACATTACACACCAGCAGCAGCATCAGGTCAGTACATCACACACCAACAGCATCAGGTCAGTACATCACACACCAGCAGCAGCATCAGGTCAGTACATCACACACCAGCAGCAGCATCAGGTCAGTACATTACACACCAGCAGCAGCATCAGGTCAGTACATTACACACCAGCAGCAGCATCAGGTCAGTACATTACACCAGCAGCAGCATCAGGTCAGTACATTACACACCAGCAGCAGCATCAGGTCAGTACATTACACACCAGCAGCAGCAGCAGGTCAGTACATTACACACCAGCAGCAGCATCAGGTCAGTACATTACACACCAGCAGCAGCATCAGGTCAGTACATTACACACCAGCAGCAGCATCAGGTCAGTACATTACACACCAGCAGCAGCATCAGGTCAGTACATCACACACCAACAGCATCAGGTCAGTACATCACACACCAGCAGCAGCATCAGGTCAGTACATCACACACCAGCAGCAGCATCAGGTCAGTACATTACACACCAGCAGCAGCATCAGGTCAGTACATTACACACCAGCAGCATCAGGTCAGTACATTACACACCAGCAGCAGCATCAGGTCAGTACATTACACACCAGCAGCAGCATCAGGTCAGTACATTACACACCAGCAGCAGCATCAGGTCAGTACATTACACACCAGCAGCAGCATCAGGTCAGTACATCACACACCAACAGCATCAGGTCAGTACATCACACACCAGCAGCAGCATCAGGTCAGTACATCACACACCAGCAGCAGCATCAGGTCAGTACATTACACACCAGCAGCAGCATCAGGTCAGTACATTACACACCAGCAGCAGCATCAGGTCAGTACATTACACCAGCAGCAGCATCAGGTCAGTACATTACACACCAGCAGCATCAGGTCAGTACATTACACACCAGCAGCAGCATCAGGTCAGTACATTACACACCAGCAGCAGCATCAGGTCAGTACATTACACACCAGCAGCAGCATCAGGTCAGTACATTACACACCAGCAGCAGCATCAGGTCAGTACATTACACCAGCAGCAGCATCAGGTCAGTACATTACACACCAGCAGCAGCATCAGGTCAGTACATTACACCAGCAGCAGCATCAGGTCAGTACATTACACCAGCAGCAGCATCAGGTCAGTACATTACACCAGCAGCAGCATCAGGTCAGTACATTACACCAGCAGCAGCATCAGGTCAGTACATTACACCAGCAGCAGCATCAGGTCAGTACATTACACACCAGCAGCAGCATCAGGTCAGTACATTACACCAGCAGCAGCATCAGGTCAGTACATTACACCAGCAGCAGCATCAGGTCAGTACATTACACCAGCAGCAGCATCAGGTCAGTACATCACACACCAGCAGCAGCATCAGGTCAGTACATTACACCAGCAGCAGCATCAGGTCAGTACATTACACCAGCAGCAGCATCAGGTCAGTACATTACACACCAGCAGCAGCATCAGGTCAGTACATCACACACCAACAGCATCAGGTCAGTACATTACACCAGCAGCAGCATCAGGTCAGTACATTACACCAGCAGCAGCATCAGGTCAGTACATTACACACCAGCAGCAGCATCAGGTCAGTACATCACACACCAGCAGCAGCATCAGGTCAGTACATTACACACCAGCAGCAGCATCAGGTCAGTACATCACACACCAACAGGATCAGGTCAGTACATTACACACCAGCAGCAGCATCAGGTCAGTACATTACACACCAGCAGCAGCATCAGGTCAGTACATTACACACCAACAGCATCAGGTCAGTACATTACACACCAGCAGCAGCATCAGGTCAGTACATCACACACCAACAGCATCAGGTCAGTACATTACACCAGCAGCAGCATCAGGTCAGTACATTACACACCAGCAGCAGCAGGTCAGTACATCACACACCAGCAGCAGCATCAGGTCAGTACATTACACACCAGCAGCAGCATCAGGTCAGTACATTACACACCAGCAGCATCAGGTCAGTACATTACACACCAGCAGCAGCATCAGGTCAGTACATTACACACCAGCAGCATCAGGTCAGTACATTACACCAGCAGCATCAGGTCAGTACATCACACACCAGCAGCAGCATCAGGTCAGTACATTACACACCAGCAGCAGCATCAGGTCAGTACATTACACACCAGCAGCATCAGGTCAGTACATTACACCAGCAGCATCAGGTCAGTACATTACACCAGCAGCAGCATCAGGTCAGTACATTACACCAGCAGCATCAGGTCAGTACATTACACACCAGCAGCAGCATCAGGTCAGTACATTACACCAGCAGCAGCATCAGGTCAGTACATCACACACCAGCAGCAGCATCAGGTCAGTACATTACACCAGCAGCATCAGGTCAGTACATCACACACCAGCAGCAGCATCAGGTCAGTACATTACACCAGCAGCATCAGGTCAGTACATTACACACATCACACATCATGTCACCAATGTCCACTTACCACCTCAGTAATGTGTTCTTCATATTTTCATCAACTTGACATACTCTCTTCAACATGGAGGTAATGGTAACAATATAGAAAGATCTATTTCTGTGTTGCAGTGTGGGGCTACGGCTTTTTGTTTGTGACACTCATCAACCTGTGCTCACTGGTGGGAGTGATTGTGCTGCCATTCATGAAGATGGCGGCCTACAAGCAGATCCTCATCTTCATGGTAGCCCTGGCTGTTGGCGCCCTTGCAGGAAGTGGGCTGCTCTTCCTCATTCCAGAGGTGGGCAAAATCAGCTTTTAGTGAAAAGTCTGTCAGTTTGTCCACACCTTGATGAGTCTGTATTGAGTTGTCTCCCTTCCATGATGATCCCCAGGACATTTCTGTACCATTGCTTCATAGTAAGCCTCATTCCACATGATTCAATGATACAATACTAAGAATAGCTTTCAAATGTTGAGTCATTTCATATCAGTTCATTTGTGGGCCTTTAGTCTTGTTCCACTAAACAAATGTTTTCCTTAATTGAAAGTTATCCAAAAAGTTAATTAGGTAGAGGCAATAGACAATTTGCATTTTAAGTCTTTGTATAAAGTTGGTGTCTTCAAGATCTAGACTGATGTGTCATGTCATCTGCTTAACTTCCTGTGTATTCCTTTGAATCAAGACCAAAAGGCATCAAACTTGAATATATTGGTGAGTTCTGCTATTGCCTAATTGGCTGAATTCTGAATGCTCCATAATACAGTGATACCTTGCTATAACACTACCTTTGGGGGTCCAAAGAATTATTGACCGTTATAGACAATCATCTGTTTAACCGAGGTGGTGTTGTAGGGGGTAGATGACCAACACCTCACTACATGCTCTGCCTACCTCAAAACGATCTATGCCAAATGTTTCAGAGTTTGAGTAAAGATTAGAGTAGTAGTTGTTTATGATTATAGTGTAAACAAAGATTTGTCCAGTGTTATGACCAATTACAAAAAACACATTGTATCTTGGTTGAATTCAGGTGAACAAACACTTATAGTTTGATAATGAATATTGAATAGTCACAAGGTAAATGTTTGAAATTAGACACATTGATTATAGTTTGTTTTGGTGCATGGGTAGCCAAGTCATCTATGGCACGACAGAAACCTGTCATTGCGTGTTCGTATCCCGGTTTGCCCGGTATGTTTCTAGGTCTGTCAGCACCATACCCGTGCTCCTGGGTTTCACTAACTTGGTAAGTGTCTGAAAACGGCATCACTTCGGGCCTTGCTCCCAAATGAAGCAGACACACTGTGATATGACTGGAATACTCTTAAAAGCGGTGTGAAAACAAACTCACTCAATCTCTAACTATTGTTTGTTTAGCACTCCTTCAATGGTTTTTTCATCCAAAAACAATGAGTTAGATTAGCGAAGGGAATATTAATTTACTTTTTCAGATAAAACTGATTATTATTTTCTGGAAAAAAATGGGAATTGTAGAATATCTAATAGCAGACATTATTACCCATACGGGCAGGAAGAACTCGTGTAATAACTTTTGGATATTTGCACATGTGCATTTTAATGATTCTCGGTGTTCATTGGTTTGTTAAAGTTCTACGCTATTTCATTGGCTGACACTGACTGCCGGAACTACTTTTGAGCTTTCACATTTCATTCACAAACCACACATGCTTTCATTCATGAATTATATGCTGATGTTGTTCTCGCAAATGCGTGACTTTGACTTGAACAATATACAGTATCTTTTTCAAAATAAAAACAAAGTACCAATATTGTATTACTTTAACATCTCTTTAATGCACAATCTTTTAACAATCGATCAAATTTCCATGCACAACTTTGATACGTCTGCTTTGTTTGTAAACAAACATGGCTGCCCACTTGACACTGATAAAGGTCAGTGACCTGATCAAAGTTGATGGCGATCTCACTGGACGTGTAGTACAGATAGTTCAACCACTTAATACCTTCAATGTCTATGTGGTGAAGACTATGTTCACCACTATGTGCAAGTTCCCCGATTCCGATTGAGATTACTACCAGAAACTGTGTCAAATGCACCACTGTCATGTCCGTCAAGTCCGTCCTTTGGTCTACCCCAAGCAGTCGTGGATGACTTAATGAGTGATGACTTTTTCGATCCCCCCACATAAAACAATTCTACAAACTTTGCAATAAATGAAATTGATATTGATGACTTTTTGGCAAGTAATGAAAATGAAAGTACCATGAAGAAAACAAAACTTGTCATGAAGTTTGTTCACAATTTTTTTTAGCAAAGTTTGCAAGAAACAAGGAAAGTTGAAGAAATCCCACCCAGTGAACTCAATATTCTCTTGTGCAGGTTTTTCATCTCCCCGCCAAAAAGTCGGATGGAACAGAATATGAACCATCGACATTAAAAGGGATAAAGGCCTGTGTTGAGCATTATCTGAAGAGACATGACTATAAACACTCGTTGTCAGACTCCATGCATTTCATTAAACTACGAGAAGAATTAAAATCTAAACAAAAATCCCTGAAAAAGCAAGGTAAAGGCAACTTACCCCAGCGGGCCGATCCCGTGTCAAATCTTGAACTAAATAAACTCCGTGAATCTGGACAACTTGGCACAAGTACACCTGATGCAATCTTAAACACGTTATGGTGGAACAACACCATCTACTTTGGTCTGCGTTCTGCCACCCCTCACAGGCGCATGCAATGGGGCGATGTCATTCTCAAAAAAGATACTGAAAACAATGAGTATCTGCAGTATATTGAGAGACGATCGAAAACACGTCAGGCTGAGGCATGGGCACAGCCTAGTGATTTGTGCTGTCCGGTAGCTCTTTATAAACGGTACCGTGATCTGAGACCCGCAAATTACTGTGATGATGATCATCCCTTTTACCTTGCAACCAACACACAATTTGGGGTCAAATCTGGAGACACATGGTTTAAACGCCAGCCTGTTGGTCCTAATAAACTGGGGTCCATAATGAAAAGGATGGCTGTCAGGGCTGGGTTGTCAGCTGACAACAATTAACAAATCACAGTGCAAGGAAAAGGATGATTCAAACTCTCTCTGACAATGGCGTTCCCGCACATCAGATCATGCAGGTGTCTGGTCACAAAAACATCAAGTCCATCAATCATTACTGCAAAATAAATGAGCACCAGCATCACAATATAAACAACATCCTTGCACATTCCAGCACCTCAAACTCCACTGTAGCCATGAGAAATCCCCAAGTTCGTGAATCACATGTTGATAGATCTCACGACATGCCACAAGCCCACCATGTGTCACTTAGTACATCACAACAGAACCGAGTTTCACATGACACGAAATGTGAAGCAGTTCACACACTTTTCGCTGGGCCGATCTATGGTGGGGTATTTAACATTACAATTTCCCCAAATGACACTGGGGCTACGGCAAGACAACCAAGTCCAAAACGACGAAGAATTAAGGTCATTCATTCCGATTTTGATTCCGATTAGTCCCAGGTTATCATACATCCAGACAGATTCTGCATAGAATCGATGATAGATGTAAACATCCTGCTCCCAGTTCAGCAATGCACGCTCTGAAACTTCGGCCGAGATCTAGGTCAAACATCTCGCACTGCGACTGAGTTGATTCTTCTTGTATGACATTCCCACCTGTTTTCGTGACACACATGTCCTTTAACTATTGACTTTGTGACTTTGTTTAGCCAGTTTTCATTGTTGTTGAAGATGACAGTTTAAATTACTGACATATCGAGCGAAATTCGTCGGTAACAGCATCGGTGCATTCTCGGCACCTCTTGCTTCCCAGACTGTTTGCAACGGTCTTACCTAGCTTTGACTGTTTTGTAAATTTATTTGTCTCTGATAACTAAAAGTTTTATCAGTAACATGTATTATCAATTGTTATAAATATAAACAAAGTCATGAGTTTGCAGTTTTTAATGAGAATTCTCCATTTTCTTGTACATTGTACTACATTGCATATCGTTTGAATTTGACTTGGTAAGAGTGAAGTGGCTAGCAGTAAAAAGCCGCTTGTTTTCCTGCGGATGAATACATTGGAGATGGCCGGGTGGAGCTCGCTTATATAGCAACACGATGCAGCATATTTTAACGACGTAAATCATCAAAATTGAGTATGGGTAATAATTAGAATAACCCACTCGATACGGGTGATTACGGAAAATATGTCCCTCGTGAAATTAACGTTCTCAGGTCCTCGCTTAAGCTCGGAACTGGGAACGTTAATTTCACTCGGGCCATATTTTCCGTAATCACCCGTATCGAGTGGGTTACCCTCTAAATATTTTATGATTGTAATTCTGTTTTGCATGGCATATTTTTAGTTGAATATGTTTTGAACAACATTCTCTTGTCTAGGCGTTCGGGCTGGTCCAGGAAAGTCATGGCAACATAGATTACATCTTTAAGGCCTGCACAATCATGGGAGGAATCTACTTGTTCTACTTGACAGAGAGAGTCATGCGTATGCTGACAGACTGGAAGGAGGTGAGTATATGTCCACCTAACAGAGAGAATCATGTGTTTACTGTAAGATGGAGAAAATCGTGTGTTTACTGTGAGACAGAGAGAGTCATGCGTATGCTGACAGACTGGAAGGAGGTGAGTATATGTCCACCTAACAGAGAGACTCATGTGTTTACTGTGAGATGGAGAGAATCATGTGTTTACTGTGAGATGGAGAAAATCGTGTGTTGACTGTGAGATGGTGAGAATCATGTGTTTACTGTGAGATGGAGAAAATCATGTGTTTACTGTGAGATGGAGAGAATCATGTGTTTACTGTGAGATGGTGAGAATCATATGTTTACTGTGAGGTGGAGTGAATCATGTGTTTACTGTGAGATGGTGAGAATCATGTGTTTACTGTGAGATGGTGAGAATCATGTGTTAACTGTGAGATGGAGAAAGCATGTGTTTAATGTGAGATGAGAGAATCATGTGTTTACTGTGAGATGGAGAGAATCATGTGTTTACTGTGAAAGGGTGAGAATCATGTGTTTACTGTGAGATGGAGAGAATCATGTGTTTATTGTGAGATGGAGAGAATCATGTGTTTACTGTGAGATGATGAGAATCATGTGTTTACTGTGAGATGGAGAGAATCATGTGTTTACTGTGAGATGGTGAGAATCATGTGTTTACTGTGAGATGGAGAAAGCATGTGTTTAATGTGAGATGAGAGAATCGTGTTTACTGTGAGATGGAGAGAATCATGTGTTTACTGTGAGATGGAGAGAATCATGTGTTTACTGTGAGATGGAGAGAATCATGTGTTTACTGTGAGATGATGAGAATCATGTGTTTACTGTGAGATTGAGAGAATCATGTGTGTACTGTGAGATGGAGAGAATCATGTGTTTACTGTGAGATGGAGAGAATCATGTGTTTACTGTGAGATGGAGAGAATCATGTGTTTACTGTGATTGAAAGAATCATGTGTTTACTGTGAGATGGAGAGAATCATGTGTTTACTGTGAGATGGTGAGAATTATGTGTTTACTGTGAAATGGAGATAATCGTGTGTTTACTGAGTGACAGAGAGAATCATGTGTTTACAGATTAATGGAGAAAATCATGTGTTTACTGTGAGATGGTGAGAATTATGTGTTCACTTAGTGACAGAATCATGTGTTTACAGATTAATGGAGAGAATCATGTGTTTACTGTGAGACAGAGAGAATCATGTGTTCACTGTGAGATTGTGAGAATTATGTGTTTACTATGAGATTGTTAAAAATTATGTGTTTACTGTGAGATGGTGAGAATCATGTGTTTACTGATTGACGGAGAGAATCATGTGTTTGCTGTGAGATTGTGAGAATCATGTGTTTAATTAGTGACAGAGAGAATCATGTGTTTACTTGAGACTGAAAAAATCATCTGTTTACTGAGAAACAGACAGAATCATGTGTTTAAATACTAATTAAGAGAATCATGTGTTTACTGTGAGACAAAGAGAATCATGTGTTTACTGTGAGATGGTGAGAATCATGTGTTTACTGTGAGACAGAGAATCATGTGTTTAATGTGAGACAAAGAGAATCATGTGTTTACTGTGAGATGGTGAGGATCATGTGTTTACTGTGAGACAGAGAATCATGTGTTTACTGTGAGACAGAGAGAATCATGTGTTTACTGTGAGACAGAGAATCATGTGTACACTGATTGATGGAGAGAATCATGTGTTTACTGTGAGACAAAGAATATCATGTGTTAACTGAAAGATTGTGAGGATCATGTGTTTACTGCGAGACAGAATCATGTGTTTACTGTGAGACAGAGAATCATGGTTACAGTGAGACAAAGAGAATCATATGTTTACTGGGAGACAGAGAGAATCATGTGTTTACTGTGAGACAAAGAGAATCATGTGTTTACTGTGAGACAAAGAGAATCATGTGTTTACTGGGAGACAGAATCATGTGTTTACTGGGAGACAGAGAATCATGTGTTTACTTTGAGATGGTGAGAATCATGTGTTTACTGTGAGACAGAATAATGTGTTACTGTGAGACAAAGAGAATCATGTGTTTACTGTGAGACAGAGAATCATGTGTACACTGATTGATTAAGAGAATCATGTGCACGCTGATTGATGGAGAGAATCATGTGTTTACTGGAAGACAGAATCACGTGTTTACTGTAAGAAATGAAAGAATTGATTGTCGATACCGCCGTGATGATGTGGAATATGTAGCATTGATAAGCATCAAGGAATCTGTGTAGGTAGCTGCCAGGAGTATGTGGGATTCAGTGTAGGAAGCAGCCTGGAGTGTGTGGGATTCAGTGTAGATAGCAGCCAGGAGTATGTAGGATTCAGTGTAGGTAGTAGCCAGGAGTATGTGGGATTCAGTGTAGGTAGCAGCCAAGAATGTGTGGGATTCAGTGTAGGTAGCAGCCTGGAGTATGTAGGATTCAGTGTAGGTAGCAGCCTGGAGTATGTAGGATTCTGTGTAGGTAGCAGCCTGGAGTATGTAGGATTCAGTGTAGGTAGCAGCCAAGAATGTGTGGGATTCAGTGTAGGTAGCAGCCAGGAGTATGTGGGATTCAGTGTAGGAAGCAGCCAGGAGTGTGTGGGATTCAGTGAAGGAAGCAGCCAGGAGTATGTGGGATTCAGTGTAGGTAGCAGCCAAGAATGTGTGGGATTCAGTGTAGGTCGCCGCCAGGAGTGTGTTGGATTCAGTGTAGGTAGCAGCCAGGAGTATGTAGGATTCAGTGTAGGAAGCAGCCAGGAGTATGTGGGATTCAGTGTAGGAAGCAGCCAGGAATGTGTGGGATTCAGTGTAGGTCGCCGCCAGGAGTGTGTTGGATTCAGTGTAGGAAGCAGCCAGGAGTGTGTGGGATTCAGTGTAGGTAGCAGCCTGGAGTATGTAGGATTCAGTGTAGGTAGCAGCCAGGAGTATGTAGGATTCAGTGTAAGCAGCCAGGAGTGTGTGGGATTCAGTGTAGGTAGCAGCCAGGAGTATGTAGGATTCAGTGTAGGTAGCAGTCAAGAATGTGTGGGATTCAGTGTAGGTAGGAGCCAGGAGTATGTAGGATTCAGTGTAGGTAGCAGTCAAGAATGTGTGGGATTCAGTGTAGGTAGCAGCCAGGAGTATGTGGGATTCAGTGTAGGTAGCAGCCAAGAATGTGTGGGATTCAGTGTAGGTAGCAGCCAAGAATGTGTGGGATTCAGTGTAGGAAGCAGCCAGGAGTGTGTGGGATTCAGTGTAGGAAGCAGCCAGGAGTGTGTGGGATTCAGTGTAGGTAGTAGCCAGGAGTATGTAGGATTCAGTGTAGGAAGCAGCCAGGAGTATGTGGGATTCAGTGTAGGAAGCAGCCAGGAATGTGTGGGATTCAGTGTAGGTAGCAGCCAAGAATGTGTGGGATTAAGTGTAGGTAGCAGCCAAGAATGTGTGGGATTCAGTGTAGGAAGCAGCCAGGAGTGTGTGGGATTCAGTGTAGGTAGTAGCCAGGAGTATGTAGGATTCAGTGTAGGTAGCAGCCAAGAATGTGTGGGATTCAGTGTAGGAAGCAGCCAGGAGTGTGTGGGATTCAGTGTAGGTAGCAGCCAGGAGTATGTAGGATTCAGTGTAGGAAGCAGCCAGGAGTGTGTGTGATTCAGTGTAGGAAGCAGCCAGGAGTGTGTGTGATTCAGTGTAGGAAGCAGCCAGGAGTATGTAGGATTCAGTGTAGGTCACCGTCAGGAGTGTGTGTGATTCAGTGTAGGTAGCAGCCAGGAGTATGTGGGATTCAGTGTAGGAAGCAGCCAGGAGTATGTAGGATTCAGTGTAGGAAGCAGCCAGGAGTATGTGGGATTCAGTGTAGGAAGCAGCCAGGAGTATGTGGGATTCAGTGTAGGAAGCAGCCAGGAGTATGTGGGATTCAGTGTAGGAAGCAGCCAGGAGTATGTGGGATTCAGTGTAGGAAGCAGCCAGGAGTATGTGTGATTCAGTGTAGGTAGCAGCCAGGAGTATGTGGGATTCAGTGTAGGAAGCAGCCAGGAGTATGTGGGATTCAGTGTAGGTAGCAGCCAGGAGTATGTGGGATTCAGTGTAGGAAGCAGCCAGGAGTGCGTGTGATTCAGTGTAGGAAGCAGCCAGGAGTATGTAGGATTCAGTGTAGGTCACCGCCAGGAGTGTGTGTGATTCAGTGTAGGTAGCAGCCAGGAGTATGTAGGATTCAGTGTAGGTCACCGCCAGGAGTGTGTGTGATTCAGTGTAGGAAGCAGCCAGGAGTGTGTGTGATTCAGTGTAGGAAGCAGCCTGGAGTATGTAAGATTCAGTGTAGGTAGTAGCCAGGAGTATGTAGGATTCAGTGTAGGTAGCAGCCAAGAATGTGTGGGATTCAGTGTAGGAAGCAGCCAGGAGTGTGTGGGATTCAGTGTAGGTAGTAGCCAGGAGTATGTAGGATTCAGTGTAGGAAGCAGCCAGGAGTATGTGGGATTCAGTGTAGGAAGCAGCCAGGAGTGTGTGGGATTCAGTGTAGGTAGTAGCCAGGAGTTATAGGATTCAGTGTAGGTAGCAGCCAAGAATGTGTGGGATTCAGTGTAGGAAGCAGCCAGGAGTGTGTGGGATTCAGTGTAGGTAGTAGCCAGGAGTATGTAGGATTCAGTGTAGGAAGCAGCCAGGAGTATGTGGGATTCAGTGTAGGAAGCAGCCAGGAATGTGTGGGATTCAGTGTAGGTAGCAGCCAAGAATGTGTGGGATTCAGTGTAGGTAGCAGCCAAGAATGTGTGGGATTCAGTGTAGGAAGCAGCCAGGAGTATGTAGGATTCAGTGTAGGAAGCAGCCAGGAGTATGTGGGATTCAGTGTAGGAAGCAGCCAGGAGTATGTGGGATTCAGTGTAGGAAGCAGCCAGGAGTATGTGGGATTCAGTGTAGGTAGCAGCCAGGAGTATGTAGGATTCAGTGTAGGTAGCAGCCAGGAGTATGTGGGATTCAGTGTAGGTAGCAGCCAGGAGTGTGTGTGATTCAGTGTAGGAAGCAGCCAGGAGTGTGTGGGAT